ATATGACAAAGGTTCAATAAGTGCTGTGTACAAATGCGGTCATTACTCAATATTATCTCATTTGGCAGCAGTTGAAGAATATCGAAAAACAAAATTAAATGGAAAAATTGGATTAAAAGTAGATGGAGATGCCATGATTCCACTTGATCCAAATTCAAAAGCAGATCAGCAGGCGGCATTTCGTGGTATGGTGTGGGGCTTTGGCTGGTTTGCCAATCCATTATACAAAGGTAATTATCCAGCTTCAATGTTAGATGATCTGGATTCAACCATTCTTCCTCGTTTCATATTAAGTGAAATGAAGCGTCTTCGACAGAATAAACCGGATTTTCTTGGCTATGATGGATATACAACTGGCTGGGCTCGTCCAACCAAAAATTGCAAACGTAATGAGAGCAATACATGGCCGATATGTGTTGATGGAATTGAAACATTACCAAATGGTACAAGTATTGGTCCACCAACAAACTCTCCCTGGAACTTTGATTATCCACAGACACTTCGCATTGGCCTAAAACATTTGTATTCGACGTACGGTGCTTATCCATTATATATAACAGAAAATGGAATGGCAGTTGTCAATGAAAGTCAGCTTAGTCGTTCAAATGCATTAAATGATTACGCTCGTATTAACTGGTATAAAGGTTATTTAAAGGTGTTGAAAGAAGTCATTGAACAAGATCACATACCTGTCGACGGATTTATTGCATGGGCATGCCTGGATAATTTTGAATGGATCTATGGATATAATACACGATTTGGTCTCATCTATGTTGATTATGAAACAGAACAACGATATGTTAAACAAAGTGCACGATATTTAAAGGGAGTATTCAAACAAGGAAAACCGATTTAATACTGTATTATGTATATAATTCAAGTCTATTTGGTTTTTCGTTGAGTTAACAAAATTAATTTTTAACTGCCATTAAGTTATCTGTCTCACAGGAGGCTAGACTTCTTTTATGCATATTCATGCAGAAAGTGCGAGAATTTTCGTGCACAAATCACTTAACACTTGCGATAACGACATATAATCAACAAAGATGAAGATTATGAACTGAGACATAAATGTTGATCGAGTATTGTATAAAAAAAGTATCTGAATATATATCGACGTGTCATATTTGAGTCATTTGACCTCATGTCTAGATTGCTATTGCTGCAAACTGAAAATTTGCAACACTAAGCTCATAAAAAGGAAGGGTAACTGCATACTGAAGCTCAATTCACAATGTATCCTGTTTAGTTTTGCCGAAAAATGTGAAAGTCAAAGCTCTTCGTATATTTCAGTAAAAAGGGGATCAGAAAAGTTAGAAATCAAGAAATCGGGAAATCGAGAAATGGAGAAATCTGCTACAACACATAGCATAACAAGTAAGTGAAAACAAAAAAATGTCGCTTAAAATGGGATAAGAAAACTCCGAATGCAAGAAATCTAGAAACCTGCAAGAGCACTAACAACACATAGCAAAACAAGTGAAGGTAAACGGAAAAACGATTCTGGTGGATTGTTAACAATTGTTGGTTCATTGTTGAAAATATTGTTTTGGTAAATGCACTAGAAATCAAACCGTATCATAATTCGATTAAATGATATTTATCTCGCTGTTGATATGTGGGACTTACTGCATGTTAATGACCTGAATTAATTATCTCGCCGATAAGATTGAGGAATTATCAGTGGACCTAGACATTGCGTATTTGAGGAAATTCCAATTGTCTGACAGTTTTTCAGATGAAACAATAACATAAAATAATGTCGATTTAGGATAAGAATATGTTTTTAATGCATATTTAAAATTTGTCAAATATGAAAACATCCGTTCACACACTTGCGAATCAATACCTTTAAACATAGACATATTCTATTGTGCTGGCAAGTATTATGAAATGAATGAATTCCAGAAAGATCTTTTCCAGAAAGTACATATCCGGAAACTTCTCACTGGAGCATTTCTTTCTGGGATGTTTGTTAGCCTAGAATAGCTCTTTTCCTCTCGGTATTCTTATATGTCTGTATATATGAAAGTCTAGGATTCTGCAGTTTTATACAAAAGATAGTGGGGTAATACTGTCTTATGACTCACTCTCATGCTGGCTTCCTCCCTCCCAAGTCCTCCAACACTCTGAAATACCGATACAAGCTCTACATCGATGAAAATCCCAAAGTTTTCCATACATAGTTTGGCAAAAAGCATATAAGAATACACGCCAGAATTTAAGTAGATACATTCTGTATCCGTATTATGATAGCATTCAGCACCAACTTTGGGAAAAGAATCTGAGAGGAAAACTAGGAATTACTAGGAGGAAATTCTATACATATTGGGAGTAAAGGTTGTGACCAATAATCGTCACATACCCCCCACCGCGATCCGAGTGCCCTCACGCGGACAGTATGATCAGGTTGCTATGGCGCCAGAAACAAAAACTAATAAAAAAAAACGAAAACAAAAAGACACATATAGATAATAAAACAGCTACAGTGTAGCATTAAAATCAGACAGGAAAAGATGGTGGAAATAAGTACCAAAGGGGATAGCACAAAAAAAACAAAAAACCAAACAAAACAACAAAGAAAATGAAAAGTATAAGAGAATACCCGGCGACAACGGAAAAAGTATTTACCAAAAACAAAAATTAA